CTTAAACCCTAAACCCTTTATAAGGAATAAGGGTACTACTGGGCATCCTAGCCCCTAATTTTCTGAAACCCTACACCCTTTATAGAACCCTTATAGATCCCTTTAAGGAACCCTTATAGATCCCCAAGGGTACTACTGGGCATCCTAGACCAGGATATTGGAGTCTCTGGTAGGTCTCCGTCTCCAAAGCTGGGATGGCTCCGAAGTGTTTCGGCTCGCAGAGGCCGAAGAAATCGGGCATTCCTTCATCGGGTATCAGAACCCTAGGGTTCCTTAAAGGGCTCCTTAAAGGGATCTAGAGGGTTCATTAAAGGGTGGGTTTAGGGTTTAGGGTCTACTTGGAGGATCTCTAAACCTACTTGTCGCGTATCATGGCGAACTAAAGGTTAAGCGTTTTGGCGACATAATAGGGATTTTGCAGGGACTATACCACCCAAATAAGGTTCAAGGTTGCCTACTCTACTACTAGGTCATGAAGGGGCATTGAGGGTTTATGTTTAAGCTTTAGGGCCTCTATGGTTCATGGATTAGGAGGTTTAGGGTTGAGGGCTGTAGGGCTTCAGGGTTTAGGATTCAGGGTTTAGGGCGTAGCGGTTAGGGTGCTATGAGTTGCTAAAGGGCTTCAACCGGATGCTTAGAGAGTCTAGGGGGTTTTAGTATTGTAGTGTAATTGTCCGATATGATCCGACTAGTACAGTCAAGCACCCTGCGGAAAAGTCTTACAAATCACTCCGCACCCCCTCCCCATGCAAGTCCTAAACCCTAAACTTAGTTGCTGAGTTCATAAGCCCCCAAAAGTGTACACGTTCAGTTTTATAGTGGGTGATTACTATCCCAAAAAGTCGAAAGTGCATCCACTCAGCTACTAAGTAAAGGTAGGAGGGAACCCCAGGCTTCTTTGGTTACAGGACTCTTGGCCTTCCTTGGGGAGATTATTTTTGGCAGCTGCTGCTGCGAATCGGTTTAGGGTTTAGGGTCCAGCTTCCTAACAAAACCCATAGTCAGGTTTAGGGCAGGGGTTGGGCTTGGGGAGTACGTATCTGCGGATTATAGAACCCCAAAACGGCTAGGATGCCCAGTAGTACCGTTATTCCCTTTTTGTAGTCCTAGGTTCCCTGTAAAGTTACTCAATACGAAAAGGGAGCCCCTTCTATTCCTAGGTTACTGGGCATCCTAGACGGTTAAACCCTATACCCGAAACCCCCTGCTAGAAACTTAAACCATGCAACCTGGTCTTTAAGCCCTAAATCCTAAACCCTATACCTTAAATTATAGTAGGTTGCCTAATATGATTTAAGGAATACTCCTTAACCTTAACTAAGGGATATTAAGCCCTAAACCCTAAAAACCTTCTCGGATGCCATCCCAGAAGGGCTCTCCAGAAACGGGGAGAGGCCCGGAAGCTCTGATCCGTTGGGGGGGGGGGGGGGGTTCTGGGTTGGTTTAGGGGCTAGGGTTGAGGGAGGACGGTTTTGGGTTTTAGGGTTCAAAGTTTAGGGTTTAGGGAGTATGGTTTAGGGTTCAAGGTTTAGGGTTTCGGGCTTCTAGGGAGTATGGTGGGTACGTCGGGTTGTTGGTGGGTTTGAATCGCCTTAGTGGAGTTAGTGAGTTTAGGGGTTTGGGGGTCAGTGGCTTTGGCGGATTTAAGGTGTAAGATCAGGTGTACGGTGGTCAAAAGACTTAAGAAGGCTTGTCTACAGGGCTTCAGGTCAGGTTGCAGAGGGTGTCTTGGGGTTGGGGTGTAGGGGTTTAGAGGATGACAACTTAAGGTTTAAGGGTGTTGGGGGTCTGGGGTTTTGGGTTGTAGTATAGGTTGAGGTTTCTAGAATGGGGCGTTACACTTTTGGAGGGGAGATCTGAGGGCTGAGCGACGTCGAGCTGTCGGCATGTGCATCAAAGTTCGATGACTTGGGACTTAGGTGTCTTGCTAAGAAACTGAAGTAAGCTTCCCGAACCATAGCTTTAGTTTAAATGGGGCTCTATAAGGGTAAATTACGGCAACTTGAACTTTGCGAAGACAGGTATCACACATATTGTTCAATTTCAGCGGATGTAGTAAGCGGGATATAAGGTATGAGGAGTCTTATGAGGACCCCAATCCTTAATTAGTATGACCCCTTCAGAGAGTACATTTCGGCTTTGCTGTAGAGCTCAATCTAGCAACATACGGGTGTGAAGGGCCTACACTCGCTCCCAAAACCGAAATCCTAAACCCGAAACCCTTTACCCTAAGTGAATGTTTTGAGGTGGGTGGGGAGAGTGAGCTCCCGGATCAGCCGTTTTCGATCGCAACGGCCGCACGGTCCTGGTCCTGCGCCAATCAGAAACCGAACCCTAGAATCTACACAGTTGTCGGATCCCGACAAATTCTGTTGTAGGGTTCATAATAAAGAACCTACAAAGATGATTCTGATAGCTTACGGTAGACGCTGAACTCCTGAAGCCCTACAAACCTCTGACCGCAACTCTGCAGGTAGCTCAAAACCTCGCGCCTACAAGTCCAGCCGCTTGAACCAAAAGCCAGGAAGCCGAAAAGCTAACCATGCCTCGTAATGTAGGGTTTGGGTTTGGGGTTTAGGGACCAATAGGTCATTAGGGGCTGTTAGTAGATATTCCGGCTCCTATTTTGCAGCTAGACGGCGTAGTACCCAGAACCCTAAACCGTCAATCCTAAATAAACCCTAAACCCTCAACCCTAAATAAACCCTAAACCCTAAACCCTAAATAAACCCTAAACCCTAAATAAACCCTAAACCCTAAATGAACCCTAAACCCTAACCAAACCCTAAACCCTAACCAAACCCTAAACCCCAAACCCTGAACCCTAAACCCAGAAATGTATAGGGCCCTGAAGAGTCAGACAAAAGTCCTGGGGCTACATGGGAGTTTCCGAAAATAGGGGACCCTAACAAAGGGATCCTTTAAGGGTTCCTTAAAGGGATCTATAAGGGCTCCATAAAGGGTTTAGGGTTTAGGGTTTAGGGTTTCCGAAAATAGGGGATCCTAGGATAGTACCTTAAATAGTAGAACCCGTATTCTAGGATACCCAGTAACCTAAGAATAACAAAGGCCTCTCTTTTTGGTATTGGTAACTTTATAAGGAACCTAGGACTACAAAAAGGGAATAAGGGTACTACTGGGCATCCTAGGAAAAGAGGGGACCCTAGTATAGTACCTTAAATAGTAGAATCCTTATTATAAGGACCCCAAAATAAGGTACCCCTTCGGAAACTCCCACATATTCTAGTATAATTCTGAATAGGTTTAGGGCTTAGGGTTTAGGGTCCTGGGGCTACGTTCTAACATAATTCTGAATAGGTTTAGGGTTTAGGGTTTAGGATTCTGGGGCTACGTTCTAGTAGGGAACTCTGAGGTAGTTTGTCCGTCCCCTAGATTCTCGAAAAACCTAGACCCGAAACTCTTTGAAGCAACCTAACCCAAATCCTAAAGCCGTAGCCTTTTGCAGGAAGCCTCAAACCCTGAACCCTACAACCCTAGGCCTAAGCCCATGTCCTCGATACTCTGCCACGTCTGCACCCCCAATGCTTCGGTGTGGACGGACACCTGGCATGCTGAATTCTCGCAGGCCTAGCGTAGTACGGCTCCTTAAACGGAATCTATAAGGGTTCTATTACAAGGGATATGTGGGGTGTAATGTTTAGGAAGGCCTTCATCGTGTGACTAGGGTCTTGGCATAGATGCTACTATAATTACAATAGGACCGTTTCTACAGGATCCCCCACATCTTCGGAGGTGCTGCAATAGGTCTATGGAGCTCTCAGGGTTTGGAGGGCTTGAAAAGGATTAAGATTCCACTGGGGGTTTCTGTAAATGCTGTGAAAGCTCAAAAACCGGATGTGTATGGTCTGTTGAGACGAAAGGACGAAGAAGGAGTACTGCTGGGACAGCTACTACCTTCTGCAGGGCCGTTCACAGGGCCCCCTCCAAACCTCGTAAACCCTCAACCCTAAACCCTAAAACCCAAAACCCTGAACCCCAGACGTCAACCCTAAACCCCAAAGCCTAACCCTTAAACCCCAAACAATGAACCCTAAACCCGGCAAGTGCACGGCTGGGCAACAAGGCGTCTGTACCAACTGGGTGCAACCCCTGACACAAGGTACCTAGAAAACGGCCCATGAACCATGAACCCGCCTACGATAAGAACCTAATATTGGGGGCCCTGAATTATTAGAATAGGGTTCTGGGGCTCATCATACTACAATTAAGAAGGAGCCCACAAAACAGTACAGGTAATTATCCAGCCCCCATATTATGGAGCCGGCAGGATTCATACGGTTGATGATATAAATCCTGCATTACCTTAAGGACCTTAAGCTATGGGAACTATTGGTATATTCCGTACTATGGGTATTGCAGGATTTAGATCATCAGCCGTAGGTCCATCGAAGCTACTTGTAGCTTGAGGCTCATGGCAGTTGTTACGGAATGATATAGGTCACCCAGGTAAAACATCCTTGTGGCGTTAACCTTAGACCCTGAATATCCCTGGATGACTGTAAGCTCTAGTATTCTCCTTTCACCCTAGGCCCGTTACCTTACTAAACCCTCAACCCCACTGTTACTAAACTCTATTACTACGTGAACTTCGGAAGAAACCTTACGCTGCGAGCAGCTCATGAAAAATCTGTCATGAACCTCAAAAGTCCATTTCGTAGCAAACATGTTTCGTAGAATCAATCCGTCAGAAACACCAGAACAATCCAAAACATGTAGCGCCTTGAACCATAAAGCACCAACTTCCTACACCCCTAAACACTCAACCGTACCACGGCATGTTCGTTCTTTTGCTTCCGATGTTCCCAAAGCTGGCAGAGAGCCATGGCTCACGACCGAATCCTTTGTCGGCCAGAGCTGTTCTAGCAGCCTCTGCTTGACATACGCAGATTTGACCGACCAACTATACTATGCTCTTTTTTGTAAGAAGTAAGTGAGTATAGCCCACGAACTGCATGGCAGGGACGTGCCGGGGTGAAGTCCTAGATGGGCGGTGGATATTCAGTGTTCTCTGCGCCCCAATACATGCTGCCTGCTGGCCTGCCGCCGATCGAGATTGGCCTGTACGAAGTGGCGGCCACGACGCCCACGGATGCGCTGCTCCCGAATTCCCGGATGTTGCCCGCAAATGTGCTAAAAAGGTCTTGCTTCTTCATGGCCACCTGAAGAAGCATGTCCGCATCTGAGCGGTGGAGGGCAATCAGGTCCTGCTTCTTGCAGTCCCTGGCCAACTCATAGATACATCTTTCTTGCTGCTTCTTCAGGCCGTGCTTCGAAGCTTGAACGAGTCGTTCCTTAGTTGCTGAGTTCATAAGCCCCAAAAAGTGTACACTTCCAGTTTTATAGTGGGCAATAGTATCCCCAAAAGTGTAAAGTGTATCCACTCAGCTACTAAGGTTCTCCTGTGACCGGAAGTTGCAGCAGGAGATTCTCGCAAGCCTGCAGCAGGAAGCCCACCTGATAGTAGCCACCAATCGCCAGCAGCCCGTCAACGTTTGCCTCTGTGACTTTGTGGGCACCCCAAGCGGCGGGTCCGAGTAAGGCATAGAATGTCTCAAACTCGGCTTTGTTCGCCACCTCCACCTTGATGATGCTTTGCTGTGCCTCGCTAGGTTTTGTATGGTCTAGATTCAGAGTTCCAGGTTTTGTTGGGTTTCATGGGTCTTTCCCGTGCTGCGCCTCCTTCATGCCACTCGCGAGCATGCGGTTGAACACCGGCGAGGCCAAACGAAGCAAAGCAGAGCAGGCAGGCATTGTGTCCACGCCAAAGTCCAGCACCACATCGCCGATCTGCTCTGAGGTGGCAACTCCTGGAAATGTGTCCTTGTTAGGAGTTTAACGGCTTCGGGTTCAGGGCTTTAGCGTTGTGCGGTTAAGGGTTCAATAGGGTTTAGGTCCGAGGTTTAGGGTTCAGGACTGTCCTCGTCAGCATCTTCCTGCTTTGCGCCTGCCAGCGAACCCTGATGGGCAATCGGCGGCTTAATCGGAATCATGGTCGAAAAAACATCAACTGCATACTGTACCAACCAAAGCCCTGAACCCTGCACAATACCTTAAACTCAACACCTAGACCCCCTGAAAACCTTTAAGTCTGAAGCATACACACTGCTACATCTATACTGAACTTAGAACCCTAGCAAAAACTATAATCTTAGCTGTTTCTCAGGGGTTATAATAACCAAAAATTAAAAATTATTTCTAAGTACCCCTAAGATCTTGTCTGACTTGAGAGGCGCCTTCATGTCGGGCAGGCTTCAGCTTCCAACGCACACGATTGGGGGTTTGTGGGTTAAGGTAACCTACCAAAACCTACTTTGTTTGTAGGGTCCCTATAAAATCCATATTAGGGTTTATAATGAGAACCTACAAAAAAGTAGGGTTTGGTAGGTTAAGGTAGGGGTTTGGGGGTTTGGGGTGTAGCGGACTAGGATTTAGGGGTGTTTCACGACACGGGCCTACAAGGTTGGGATGATTTATAGAATGGGGTTCAGGGTCTGGTGTTAAGGGTCTAGGGTGTGACCGCGCTGGCGACAAGCGTGCACACACACACACAAACACACACACACACACACACACACATACACACACACACACGCATATCTAAGGGAATGAACAAGTTGTTCAGGGCTGCGGGTTTAGAGATTAGGTGCTACAGTAGGCGAGCTGTGACCCTAGACATAAGTTACAGTTCATGTGCACCCCTGATTAATACTAGCCCTAAACCCTGAGCCCCTGAACCCCTAAACCCTCAACCCTATCTGAACATTTAGGCCCGGCTTACATTAGCGCTTGACAAATAGGAGATTGCTTTGAGGGTCTCGGCCGATGTTGTGGACGAGAGGCTTTCAGGATAGTATACGGGCCTCAGGAACTCAAATCAGGCGGTTCGGGGTTTGGGGTTTAGGGTTCGGGCAGGCTTTAGGATAAACTTACCATAAATCTTAAGAAAGGGCTATACGTGTATACTACTCCTCACCGCTAGCCTTTCAAACCTCTACGAGCTGTCGGCTTCAGCAGCACCTGAAAATATTGATGGTTCTATGTAAAACAATGAAGGAAAATGAAATTTGCCCCAAACCGGTATCTGCAGGTTGAACCGCTGAATCCTCTCCACCCCACCTTGAGACCGGCATGCTAAACAACCCTGATGCCTTGAACCCGACAGCCCAAACGCTGAACCCTGAAACCCTGATAGAGTGGGTTTGAAAACCTACTCTAAAGATTTAAGACTTATGACCCCTACTGCACGGAATGGGGGTTTGGGGCACAGTAATCATGCGCAAGCTAAAGCCCACTATCCCATTATGGTCATATAAAGCCTCGTAAACTTGGAGGCATAATCCTTAATGCAGAATTCTGCGGCCTTGTGGATTAATAAATCCTCTGGTTCTGAAACAGTACGGCAGTGGAAGCCTAGGATTTATGATTGGAGTTATCGGGTAATTCGGTGCTTAAGCTTTACAACATAGGATTGCGGGGTTCAAGCTTTGGTTTTGCGCGTTGGAAGTTGGTCGCTGTGCTGCTCGATATGCTGGGGAAAGCTCTGGCTAGGATTGCAAGCCTTATCTAGGATACCCAGTAACCTAAGAATCAGAAGGCCTCTCTTTTTGGTATTGGGTAACTTTATAAGGAACCTAGGACTACAAAAAGGGACTAAGGGTACTACTGGGCATCCAAGCTTATTGACGAATGAAGACTCCCAAAGTCGGCAGCGCTGAGTACTCAGTTGCCCAGCTCGCAAGCCGAAGTTTCAACTTGCGTACTTAAAACGAAGTCACATACACCTGATTCCTGTTGTGTTACGTGTGTTTGAGCTTGAAGGGCTGACTAATCTCAATTAAGGCGTTGGCACTTCTATACAAACTTCGAGGTTACTTGAAGGATCATCGGACTTAGTGAGTGAGTTACAAATAAGGCTCGTAAACAAGATCTTCTTAAGCCCAATAAGGGAAAATATGAAATGTCCCAAAGGCCAACCTGGCTTTGGCGGCTTCTATACAAACTTAGAGGCCTGACCGAGCCAAACTAAGGGGTTCGCGGCTTCTGCACGAACTTAGAGGCCTGACTAGTTTCCCTTAATGTGGGGGCCGTAATAATCCCTATGCTATTTTGGGGGGGGTTCCTTGTTATAACTATAGTATGATATACCCTCAAACCCTATTCTACTTATTAAGGCCCCTAATATAGAACTCTGCTACAGATCCATTGTAGAACCCTTTAAAGGACCCCTATTCTACTTATTAAGGCCCCTGTATTACATGCTTATTCACAGCTCAGCACTCCCATCTTCGAGCTCGATCTCTCTCTCTCTCTCTCTCTCTCTGTCTTGAGAGCTTTCTACAGGGGCGTTCATGATTAGAATAAGGTCCTCGAAAGGGCTCTATAAGGGATCTTTAATAGGGTTCTATTAGGGGCCTTAATGGTTCAAAACAGGGGTTTGGGGCCATTACTATACTATGATATTATAGCAAGGAACCCCCAAACCGTATTGGTAATTAAGGCCCCGTATATTACGGCTTGGGGGTTTAGGGTTTGGCTTAGGCCGAGCTTCGGAAGTCTTTTTGCCATGGCACGGCCAAGAAAACAAGCCTGCTCTGCCACATCGCAAACTAGGTTCTCCAGTAGCCCCTTAATTAAAAGGGGTTAGGTTAGAAGCTGCCCCCACCCTGTAATAGTGACTATAAGGATCATATAGGACTATATTAGGGCCCTAATATATTCCTATTATACCACTACTACAGAGTGGGGGCAACTTCTAAGGTTTAGGGTTTAGGGCGGGTACCCCTTCTCCTAGGCAAGCTACGTCAGGAAACCCTAAAATAAAAGCACACAGGGAAGCTATTGGAGAACCCGGCAACGGAAGCCCCGGTTCCGAAACCCCAGTGTGCCGTCTGCTCGTGCTCTTGTGGCACATGTTGACGACTCCCCAAGCTCTGACCAAGAAACCGTGGTACTCCATGCTCCGGCTAATACCAAAACGGCTGAACTTTGTGGTCGTACTTCTCGAAAAGTTTGCGCTTCTTCAGCGTCACTTCCAGCAGGAGATCTGCGTTGGCCGAGTGGAGCATCACCAACTCCCTTTCGTCGCCCACCCTGGCCAGTTCATGAAGGCATCTTTCACGTTGCCTCTTAAGGCCATGCTTGTCTGCTTGCATGAAGCGCTGGGCCGTGACCGGAAGTTCCGCGATCTTCTTTATGCAGGCTTCTTTCACGAAGTCCACTTGGTAGTAGTCACTGATGGAAAGTAGCCCATCAATCTTGTCCTTCGTCAACTTGTCGAGGCTAAACGCACCAGGTCCGAGTAAGGCATAGAAACTCTCGAAGTCTTGCCTATACTGAACTTAGAACCCTAGCAAAAATTATAATTTTAGCTTTTTCTTAGGGACTATAATAACCAAAAATTAAAAAATATTTCTAAGTGCCCCTAAGTTGCTTGGTCGCCACTGCCACGTCCACCTTGATGGTGCTTAGCTGTGCCTCCTTCATGCCACTCTCAAGCATGCGGTTGAACACCGGAGAGGCTAAACGAAGCAGCACCTGGTTTCTAGAGGAAGGTACTTTCGCTTACCACAACAAAGGTACATGGTAAATATTGCGCCCTAAACCCTAAACCCTAAACCCTAAACCCTAAACCCTAAAGAACCCTAAAACTTCTATGACCAAAACCGCCCCTGAGCACAATGCTCCTGAGTCGAAACGCTTGATTCACAACCCCCCTTCTGTTGAAGCCCCTAGTCCCAGACCTTCCAAATCCCTTCATTAAGGAATATACCGTAATTCATACTAGGGATCCTATTATAATTTAAGGTATAGTCCTTAATTAAGGGATTTTGGAAGGTCTGGGCTATTAGGATCCCCGTCAAAATCTTGCTTAGGCTCCAATAGGGGGCAGTTGCGGGGGGGGGAGGGGTGTTGTAGTAAGCTCCTTAACCCTAAACTCTAAACCTTAGACCCTAGAAACCCTAGGCCTTAAACCCTGAACTCTAAACGTTAGATGTTTCAAACTTACCTCTACTGCGCTCCTTTGCATAAGCCCAGACGCAGAGCTCACTCGCATGGACTCTTCTCCGAAGTCAAGGAGTACATCGCCGACCTGCTCCGTAGTAGCGACAGCTGCGGGAGTCTCCTGGATTAGGATATGAGGTTTAGGGTTTAGGGTTGGGGGTGTAGGGTTTTGAGCTGTAACGCTGAGTTCGGGCTCATGAGGTCTAGGGTTCTCAAGGCATTTCTAAGGCCTCTCCTTGTCAGAATCAACCTGCGCAGCGCAGGCTTCCGACATGCTTACTCACCAGAGCCCTATGTCGCAAAGGAAGACTAGCCCGACATTCCCTTGCCTTGCTTGAGCAGCAGTCCGACGCGATGAGCTCTGAAGATACGCCAACCCGGAGCTCTACGTTGGTTCCTTCAACCCTATACCTATCAAGCCCTTCCGTGCCCCGAATCCCCAAAAACACTTCCAGCATCATTGAACCGAACTCGTGTCGCATTCTGTTCTTGATCCGGTAAACCCCAAAACATCCAAACGAACTGTTCACTTTTGACTGCAGCAACCTACATTTTGAATTGAGCCTACTTGCAGTCAATGCTATGCTGACATCCCGGGGCTCTAAACCCTAAATCCTCGCCCCAATGTACCTGGATGTCACCGTCGCGCACCCGCAGCTGCAAGATCACAACGTCGTTGCACTTCCCTGCTCCGGGGATCACAAGGCTTCGTAAGTAGAACTTCTAGAGCAATCTAAGGGCTCTATAGGCTTCTATAGTGGTTTTGGGGTAGTGGACTGAGTAAGTGAGTGTGAAAGTACTGTAACTCGAGTTACATGGTACTATAAGCATAGTAGCCTTACTAGGATACCCAGTAACCTAAGAATAAAAAGGCCTCTCTTTTTGGTATAGGGTAACTTTATAAGGAACCTAGGACTACAAAAAGGGAATAAGGGTACTACTGGGCATCCTAGCTTATTTATAACCCTTTAGTTGCCGAGTCCCATGATCCTTCCGTGCAGTTCCAGTGTTCCGATTGAAGTTGAGGTTCAAGTTTCGGAGCTCGATGCTTGGTGCTTCTTACGGTTTAGGGTTTAGGGTTTAGGGTTTAGGGTTTAGGGTTTAGGGTTTAGGGATCAACGTATATCCTGCACTATTCCTTGAACCCTATAAACCCCGAAACCCTAAACCCCGAAACCCTAAACCCCAGACCCTAAACCCTGAACCCTAACCCCTGACCCGCTGAGCCTCACCTCCCAAATGCCTAAATCCTAAACTCCTAGTCTCTCTAACCCCAAGATCCTAAACCTCTAAACGGCCCTAAACGGTGTAGGGTTTAGGGTTTAGGGCTCAAGCCCAAACCCCTAAACTCTAAGCCAGTACTTAGTAGGTCTGTCGGGTCGAATTGCGGTCTGAAACCTAAGGAGCTACGCAGTGGACCTGTTTAGGGCTTGCGGGTCTAGCCACCTCTAAAACTAGCTCATAGTTGGGATAGTGTTAAAAGGGTATCTTTTAATTTCCTGATATTGGGTTTAAGTACCCATAAAAACGTCTAAACCCTCAACCCTAAACCCTAAACTCAACTATGACAAAGAGAACTTGGGAGTTCTTAAGAAAGTTGGCCCTTGAAAGACTCTCAAGAGTATTTCGTAAAGAGAATCCTCTCATGCTCAAAAAAGGGTTTAGGGCTTAGGGTTTAGGGAAAATGACAACCTCTTTTGGCAAAGAAACGCAAACCTGGCAAATTAGGGGCTTCTTATCTCCGAAAGTCTTGTTTAACAAACCCCCGAGTTGTCAAGAGTACCCTACACCCTATACCCCAAACCCTAAACCCTGAACCCTAAACCCTAAACCCTAAACTCTAAACCCTGAACCCTAAACCCTAAACCCCAAAGCCCAACTTCCCCCCAAATCCTCTGGACGAGCGGCCCTTGCCTCGAACCAGCCCGCGCTGACTCAAGCCAAGACACAACGCAACTCAAAGGGGAAAAGGAGACCCTTAATGGGGACCTCTACCCAAAAATGGGCTATATAATGGGTATATAATAGCTATATTAAGGGTATATACCTGGGGTCCTTATTAAGGGTCCCTCCTTTTACCCTGGAGCAACCCGATGAACACAACGAGTCTAGTTCATAGTTGGGGGGAGGATTAAAAATGTACATGTTTGTTTCTTATTGGGTTTAGGTACCCATAAACATGTAAAATGTTACCCAACTATGACAAATAAGTCCTCAAGTGCTGAACCTACCGCGAAACGTTTTAAGAGTTCACCTTAGCACGAATCTGGCCTGTCATCAAGCAACATCTGCAGCAACAGTGTAGAAGCCCTTAGGAAGACGCAGTACAGAACACACCTGAGATCCACCTTAGAATTTTAAGCCGTTTCACCACGCAGGTTCGTGACAGCCGTCAGCCCGCCTTCCACCAGCCAATTCCTTGTTTGGGCTTTGCCGTGTAAGTTTAGTGGTTTAGGATTGGGCTGTCAGTGTCTGTGGCATTGACTCGAGCCCTTCACGATGTATTGCAATGGCTGGAGCTTTAACTGGCCCTGCTCTAAGCCCTAAACCCTGGACCCCACGCCGTGAAGTTAAATTAAAAGAGTAGGTTAGCAAGGATCCCCGAAAGAATTCAGCATGAACTCTAAACTTGGGGCTTTCAGGGCGTAGGGGTGGCATGCAAGTGGACAATTTCTGAATCAGGGTCCCTTGTGGTTGCGGGACCCTTATTCAGAAACCCCCCACCCACCCACCCGCCCACCCACCCACCCACCCCGCGCGAATCACACAGTGCTTCTACCGCCTACTTCGGGTTGGAGGGCTCATAGCCTAAACCCTAAACCCTAAACCCTAAACCCTAAACCCTAAACCGAAATTGAAAACCCGTCAACCCGACATCCGAAATCTCGAAGCCCTAAGCCCGAAGCGAACCTGCTTCACCCGAAAGCCTAAAGCCGAAACCGACGCCATAAAGCATTATACATGGCTTAGAGTTTAGGAGTTTAGGGTTTACAGGGAACTCCAGAAAGTTGGAATATGGATTAATGGTAGGATCCCCTATAATTTACCTTAAAGGGGTTACGATAATGATATTCCAACTTTCTGGCTTCTACTGTAAGGTTTAGGGTTGAGGTCCCAAATTCTCAGTCTGGGGTTCCTTCGCTCAATTCTGGGGTTTGGGTTTAGGAACCGAGCTCCATGGTTCGGGGACTTAAAGGGAACTCCAGAAAGTTGGAATATGGTCTCAGGGTAGGATACCCTATAATTTACCATAAAGGGTTTAGGATAATCATATTCCAACTTTCTGGCTTTTACTATAAGACGCCTAAAGCCAAAGTCACGGTTCAGGGTTGAGGGTTTGAGGGTTTCGGGGTAAATCCAAGCACCAATAGAACAGCTTTCCTTTTGCTAAAAGGCGGTTTATAAGGGCTAGAAGAAAGGTTGATGCAAAGGTTTAACATTGGGCTGCCCAGAGACCCCCATACCCCTTAATAAAGGAATATAGCTTAAATCATAATATGAAGCCCCTGATAATTTAAGCCACATTCCTTAATTAAGGGGGTATTGGGCTCTCTGGGTGACACTCTAAACCAGGACCGACAACCTCTCAACCTCACTCAAACAGGGCTGAGGGTTTAGGGTGTAAGGCTATGTATGACCCGATCCCCGGGCCATGTGATAGGAAGCCCATGGAGCAGGTACGTTAACCGAGGCGAATCCATTTTGTATTCGGGGACATCTGAACAGACCTAATTAACCCTGAACCTAAAATGAGAACGCCAAAACCCCCGAAAACAAACACTCGCAATTACCACCCTAAACCCTATCCGCTCTGACTCTGGGCTGGGTGGCAAAAGACTTGACCAGAAAGTTTTTGCAACATAGACCGAAGGCTGTCGACGCCTGCCGTCCTGTGGTACACGCCCAGAGCAGATCAGCTTGGTCAGAGACCAAAGCGGCCCAAGGCGCGGAATTTGCGGCAGGCCCTGACATGGGAGTTCCCCAAAATAGGGGACCCTAATATAGTACCCTAAATAGTAGGATCCTTTATATAAGGACCCCAAAATAAGGTACCCCTAATTTTCGGAAACTCCCACATGCGTCTCCAGGGTCCCCGCTGTGAAGGAGACAAGGCTTTGGGCGACGAAGTCGCGGTGCTTCGAGGCTTGCGTACCCAGAGAGCCCAATACCCCTTAATTCGGGAATATGGCTTAAATTATAAGGGGGTTCATATTATGATTTAAGCTATATTCCTTAATTAAGGGGTATTGGGCTCTCTGTGTAGTAGCGTAGAAGCTGCTGGCCTCCCTGAAAAGATAGAGCAGTACCCCAAAGGCAGGTACCTGTCCTTCTACTAAATTCAACACCCTGCCTCGAAGTCGTACTGTACGACATTCTTCTCAGAGACTCCTATATCCCTTAATTAAGGAATATACCTGAAATCATATTAGGGATCCTACTATAATTTAAGGTATATACCTTAATGAAGGGATATTGGAGTCTCTGGGTTCGAGCTACTTCAGCCCTCGGGCATTCCAGCGCACATCCCGGACGCTCAAAAGCCCGACATTTGCTGCGACTCTTTCCGCACGCCGCTTGCGGGTGAAACCCTAAACTTCCCTAAACCTCAGGTACGGCCCCCATAGGCTACTTTTAAGGTCCTGATATAATATCTATATTATGAATATTTTTCAACTATTACTGAGTGGGGGCCGTACCCAACCCTAAATCGTAGATTCCATCACCGAACCGTCCATCAACAACGCACAACCCTAGACAAAAAATCGGCCTCACGATCTAAACCCGGAACCTGAGCCAAGGAATACAAGGCCCCTGCTCAACAGAGGCCGCTGAAACAAGGGTTTTCAGCTTAGGGCTTCGGGTTGGGCAGTTTACAGGGATTTCGGTTGTCTGCGATGGCTTTAGGCGCCTTGATACTTGGGATTCGGTTTGGGAAACTCTAAACCCTAAACCCTAAAACCTAAAGCCACACACCCTTAACCCTAAACCGTGATTACGCGTACCTGGGCTTTCTGTTGGGGGATGGGGCTTTAGCCTTGGAGGGTGCGGGGCTCTGATTTCTACCTCAGTCAGGGTTATGCCGCAGCAACTCCACCTCTGCAAATAAGCACCATAGAGTTCAGAGCTTAGGGGTTACTTGGAGGCCCTTTTGACTTAGTAAGTAGGGTTAGTAAGGTGGGTTATGGGGATTATAATAGGGTTTCTAGGGGATACTAAGTCGACTTACTAAGTCAAAAGGGCCTCCAAGTAGGGGTTAGGATTTAGGGACTTAGGGCTTAGGGTTTTAGGATTTAGGGTTTAGGGATTAGAGCACTATAAAATTCAGAGCTTAGGGGTTACCAAGGGAGCCCAATACCCCTCAAATAAGGAATATAGCTTGTATGGAATACAGCTTGTATCATAGCATGAAGCCCCTTATCATTTAAGCCATATTCTTTAGTTAACGGGTATTGGGCTCTCTGGGTATGCGACCTGTACGAAACTTCTGTGCACCCCTATAGCATCCTGTGCAGTTTAGAACTAGATCATGTCACGTTCCAGAAGACCCTGAATTCGAAGTCCCTCCGCCCAGATCCCCTAACAGAAGATTTTTGAAAGCGATTAAACTGCTGAACCCATAATACCGTCTGGGTGCCGTAGTTCGGTCCCTAACTATGCTGTTCTGTAACCCACTGGGACAAAGCATCTACTTTTTTAGGCTTCTTATTTTATAATAGGAACTCAGAAACCTGAAAGTAAAGAAGTGTACCACTCAACAGCCTGGCGATTGAAACCCTTTCAGCGCTTTGGGTATAGAAACTTCCTGAACCGCTGCAGCCGTCTCGTGCAACTCTTTACGGTTTCCGGTTACCCAGAAGCCCAATGCCCCTTAACTAAGGAATATAGCTTAAATCATAATATGAAGCCCCTTATAGTTTAAGGCATATTCCTTAATTAAGGAGTATTGGGCTCTCTGGGTGTTTATAGTGAACCCAGAAAGTCGGAACATGGATTTAGGATGATTATTGCTAGGATTCCCCATACTTTGCTTTAAGGGCATGGGGATAAGAATGTTCCAACTTTCTGGCTTCTGCTCCAGGGTTCAGGATGGTTCGGGTCCCGAGTAGACCGCAGACCACGGCTGGGACGCCAGCTTACCATGGTTGAGATCATCCGGCCCGCACACCGTCACCTGTCTCTGGGAAACTACAGAACCAGGATTTGCAAACCCTCAGTCTTAAACAGACATGTTCAATATTCTGATGTCTATGATCATGCTCATGGCTACAAATGTTACAAATCAAGAGTTTGCACTATTTGCAAAACATCTCGCCCCTAAATACGAACGAGACCGAAACCTGCGCCTTCGCCTTGGGCTCAAAAAGCTCTCATCCCCAAGCCCACACCCCTACTCAAGGCGATGTCGCCATTCCATTCAAACCACTAAGCGAATAGGCAGGTCAAACTAAGGCTTGCATAGGCGGGGCAACCCCAGTCAGGATACTCATTGCACCTCGAAGTAAGACGTATGCTTAAACCCCGCGATGTTCAATCCAGAAACCCCTTGGACGAACCCAACAGCTGCCTTAGTGATGAGGATGGTGGTGGTGATGATGATGGTCATCTGGTCTTGAATACTTCTGGGGTGTAAAACGATCAAGCCAAGGGCACAAATCACGCAGCTCTTTTCAGCACGCGATCTTTACCGAAACTAGTTTCGCCGTCGAGCGGCTTGTTCTATCGGATTCGGTGCTGTACGGCTGCCATATGCAAGCGCATGTCACGAGGCTTGCATTCGAACTGCGGCTCTGTTTTGAATTTAAAACAGAGATGTTCAATCCAGAAACCCCTTGGACGAACCCAACAGCTGCCTTAGTGATGAGGATGGTGGTGGTGATGATGATGGTCATCTGGTCTTGAATATTCAAGCCAACGAACATGGAGCAGCGCGAGAAGGAGCACGGTACAAGAAAGGGATGAGACTGAAGATGAAGCTGCTATTACGGCCGTCCTCACCAAATTCATAGTTACATCAAAGCATTTAAACTAAGGTGTAAGTAGTTGGGGTGTACTGTACATTACACCATGAATAGATCAAGGAGCCCTCACAGTGACGATAGGTCTACCTATGTCAGCGAGCAAGTTTGGCATTGGCTTTGTGGTATCGTCCGTCAGAAGACGACCCTGCCTGCGTGTCGGTGACGCGGTGCTGGCCGGGGTGGATCACCTGCTTGGAGAGTCGGGGGACTTAGTAACTGGTTATTTTAAGGACTTATAAGCACCATAACCCCAATTAGGGTCTGACCCTCCAAGTGAACAGTCCATGCGTCGAGAACCGATGGTCCAGGCTCAGCCCAAGGTCGTACAGATGTAGACGCCCTAAACCTTAAGCCCTAAACCCTAAACCCTGAACTCTGAACCCTGAACCCTGAACCCTAAACCCTGCTGAACCCTGAACCCTAAGCCCTAAACCCTAAACCCTGAACCCTAAACCCTAAACCCTAAACCCTAGTGTTAGCGTAGGCTTGCTGTGTAACTCCGGGTGCAGGCTTAGGAATCCTTAGGATTTAGCTGCTAAGGTTAACGGGTAACGGTTTCGAGTATCCAGATTTCTGTGACATAGGACTAAGGTTGCAATCCTCTAAGTCAAACTACTTGGAACTTGGAGCCTCTGAACTGCAAACTTACAGGTAAGTTCTGTTGCTAGGGCCTTCGCGTTTAGGGTTTGGGGGTTTTGAAGTCCAGTTTAGGTTTAGACCCTTCAATGACCTTTCAGTCACTGTGTGATCCCGCTTCTTGCCCGTGGTCCCTCGCCATCGCCCGGTCTTGATTTTTGGTACTCTTTCTGTCCTGAGCGGCGGCACAAGGGGAAATTCTGCCATACCGAATGTGCAGCACCCAGGACCCATAACTGACACAAGACCACATGGCGCTAAAGTTTTCTCCGGTGGCAGCCAGGGAGGATGGTGGAACTCAAATGTCCCTGCCATCAGTAGTTGCTGTTGCGCCCTGAGAATGGTCCATCCTTCTATCGATGAGCGTCAAAGTCGCCTTTTTGCACAGCCGAAAGTGCAGGGATCTGCAGCACGTCACTTTCGATGCCCATGCTGCGGAGGACTTGACTCCAAATGACCTAAAGCCAATCCTTCACCGCATCCGTTGCCTGCATGCAACAGACCTCCAAGTGCTGCATCGCTCGGCACACAACGGAAAACTACCTCGAGATCAGCCGTACCACCGATCTGGTTGTTTTGACCACAAGGTCTCTAGGACGAGTCAACCAACCCGAAAGCCCCGACTCGGCTATCGGCTCGCTAACAGCGAACGGCGGTAAACAACCTTAGGGTGTAGGGTCTCGGGCTCAGGCTTGAGGAGACAATCTCTATCTACCTATCTATCTGTCCCTATATCTATATATAACTGGTATATACTTATGTCATGCTCGAAACCACAAACCTTGGTTGTATCTGCATCTCTATGTATACATGGATATATACACATATATGTATATGTGTATATGCCTGGGACCTACGCCTCAGGTATGTACAGATTGGGCTTTGGGATTGGAAGGTCCGTCACATTGCAGGCCCCGAACACCCAGAATCTCCTTTGTAGAAACCTCGCAAAAACACCGAAATTTAGGGTGGTAAGGTTTCTGGGTTGGGATTTAGGAGTTAGGGTTTAGGGTATGTGGGCTTTGGGGTTAAGGCTTCAACAACACATGGAGTTTCACTTTAAAACACACCGGCCTGGCACCAGTCGCGATCGCGAACAAACTGGAACTCCTGACACGAGCCATCATGCCATGTGGCAGCAGCAGCAGCAGCAGCAGACAGCAGCAAAGGCACAGCAATGACAGAAACAGTACTTGGAGGGTCGGGAGACTTAGTAAGTAGGCAGTAAGTAGACTTATAAGTACCCTAAAAGGGACCTTAATTGGGGTTATGATACTTATAAGTCCCTAAGATAACCAGTTACTAAGTCCCCCGACCCTCCAAGTAAAGCAGCAGGAGTAGTAGCAGTAGTAGTAGTAGTAGTAGTAGTAGTAGTAGTAGGAGTGATAAGGGTAGTAGAGGAAGTACAGCTAGCAAGGGTAAAGTCGTAGTGGTAGTAGGAAGGCAAGTAGAAGGAGGAGCAATAGTAGTAGTAGTAGTAGTAGTAGTAGTAGTAGTAGTAGTAGTAGTAGTAGTAGTAGTAGTAATAGTAGTAGTAGTACTAGTAGTAGTACTAGTGGTAGTAGTAGTAGTAGTAGTAGTAGTAGTAGAACTAGTAGTAGTAGTTAGTAGTAGTTAGTCGTAGTTAGTAGTAGTTAGTAGTAGTTAGTAGT